GTGTTTGTCTAACCGATCTCGTGTAGTCGTGGGGGAATAAAAAAAAAAAAAAAGTGCATGTTTTTTTTGAATAGGATGGTACTGTAGCTCTTGCAATCCCTTTGCACAAAAAGTGACATTTTACATTTGTTTAAAAGGTCCTGAATGTGCAGTTCATTTTATAGTTGCGGCTTGTGAGAATGATGATAATGGAACAGGTATGAGGCTGGAGACATGCTCACAGCTTTCAAACCTGAAAGACTAAGAAGGTCAGAGTTTCCATATTCTTTGTTTTTCATTTGAAGAAAAAATAACATGTTGAGAGAGAGAAAACTAGATGGAAGATATGTAGTGGAAAAACTGTGTTGGCTACACAATGTCGTCCATTTTATATAAGATGATGTGGTATGCCTATAAATCATATTCTACTAAATTTGATTCTAATTAGATATTCTTATTATAGTCATAACAATTCTCATTAAATAAGGAAACAAAAAAAAAACATATAAAAGTAGAATAAATATTCGGAGATCATCTAAGATACTCTAAAATATCGGAAGATAATATCTTTAAATGTTTCTTATCTTTTTAACACCGCCCATCAAATTGAATTACTAAGCTTTAGTTTATCACAAGAAAATAATTCACTTTCTCGCAAATAAAAAAATAGTAAAAAACATAAAATTTGAGATAAAGGCAGGACTAGTGCAACTAGGCAAAAGCCGTGAGGGTGCAGGGGAGGGGCAATGCATCTGGGAAAAGCCAGGGCAAGTGAATCTAGAAAAAACTGGGGCCAGCGTGCTTGGGAACTCATCAAAGGAATAGTGACAAAAGAATTAATAAATGCCTATCCAATACTTTAATAAATCTGATTCTTATAAGATATTTCCCATAACTATAAAGATCCCAATTAAATTAAATAAGGAAACAAATTAAAATATAAAAGAAGATTAAATCGTAATAGTTCATCTAAATTTTCTAAGATTATATCTTTTGGTATTTCTTATATTTTTAACAATACACGTGCAAATTTAACTTACTATATATGTTATAGAGACAGAATGTTGGCCTTATAGGGTGGATTTTGATTGTTTTAACCATTGATCTTATCATTTTCACAAGAAAACATATCATAAGTGTTAGACACATGAAGTGCTACAACCTCCTCTTCCTACCATTGCTGAAGTTTCAATAACTTCAGTTGAATTTTCATCCTTCATCAATGTAGGCACATGAAGAAGTCTAGCGACTAAGCTATTCATTGGAGGGATTTGATCATGTATATGATCAAAATCTGAATGCAAGTTTCTCTGAATTAGATCCGTATATAACTTATCAAGTTTGTTGTTAGTGTCCTCCAATGAGTTAGCCAAGCTGCGACAAATCTTGTTTCGTCTTCTTGATGGTCAAGCTATCCAAAAAGTCACCCCCATGAGTTATCCCTCACACAAGCTTTGCATGTGTCGGCTTTGAGCCTCTATGCCCAGAACTTGAGTTTTAATTGGTGAAACTCTGTCAATATGGAGTCTTGATCCTATCTAGGAGGTCCTGATTTTCAATCTGAAGACTGTAGAGAAATTAGTAGTAGAGAAATCCACACTGATTAGAAATTTCAGTATAAGTGTAAGAGCAAGAGAATGAAGCAGATTTCTTCCTTTCTATTTTTTCTTTACCTTTCCCTGATATGTTTTGTTTCATTTCAAAATAATTAATTGTTCTTAATGAATTTTTGTAAATTTGTGCTATTGCATATCCATCGCAATAAATAAATACATTTTATGTAAATATGTGAAAGTCTATGCTTTCAAGTTTGACCAATGAGATCTATATAATTGTACTAGAGTATGACCTTGGTTTGATTAATCTCTTTTATAGGTCAATAACACAGATGCAGAGGGTAGGCTTACTCTTGCAGATGCTCTGGTGTATGCTTGTAACCAGGGTGCTGAAAAGGTATGGTGCTAAGAATCTGAATCTACAGTTACATAAATCATAATGTATTGGTGTATAGTTTAATATTTCGAAAGTGTTAGATTTGACCGATAACTATTTTATTTCTAATACAAGTTCTAGAAAATGTTGTAACATTTCTAATTTGTCCTGTTGAACTAAAGTTCAATTATTTGAATAGTGCTATTTTTCATTGTTAAAATACTTGCGTGTGGCGTTCCTGTACAGTCTGGAAAAACATTTATACAGAAAGTACTTTGTGAATTGTGTTTAGTAATGGCTGGTCGGTTGTCATTGTATTTTTTAATTTTGATTATGTAGTTTGAAACAACCTTACCACGTGTTAGTTGTGTAGTTTGGTTTTAGAACTCTAACAGGTTGGTTAACTGTTCTTCAGATAGTGGACCTGGCAACATTAACTGGGGCCTGTATAATTGGTCTTGGATCCTCAATTGGAGGTAATTATTATATATGATCACTTTACCAATATTTGTTAGTACAAAAGATGCCCAAATTTATAGCTGCCAACTTAAACTCGTAATATCGTGGGAAAGAGGCGAGCTTAGGAGTTGGGGTGGAAGAACCTGAAAGTGACATCTGGAACTTGTGAAAGTTGCAGCACGATGTTGTCTTTTCCCTTGTTGGCAATTATATGCAAGGAATATTCATTTTCAGCTGATTATTGATGCGAACTATTGTTTTCGAAGGTGTGTTTACGCCAAGTGATGACCTGGCAAAAGAAGTTTTTGAAGCTTCAGAAGCGAGTGGGGAGAAACTATGGAGGTTGCCATTAGAAGAAAGCTACTGGGAGTCAATGAAATCAGGAGTAGCTGATATGGTGAACACTGGTGCTCGTCCAGGTAGTGCTATTACTGCGGCTCTTTTCTTAAAGCAGGTATGTGCTAATAGAACATTTTATGTTTTCATTTCTCTCTTTAAAATAATGGTTCGTTGCCGTTATGGGTAGTTATAATATTTAAGACAATAACAAATTTTGGTATAAATGCTTGTGATTCTTATTTTGAAGTGGGTAGGATGATACGAGAACTGACTGGACTATTGTTAGAGGAAAAAGTTTATGTAGAGACTATTTATGAAAGAACTTAATGGGAGGAAAAACAGATGCTTTTTAAATACTGAAGCGCATCTTAATTGGCTAGCTTTTATCTGCAATCTTCATGGAAATTTCTGGCACGGTTTTATAAAACAGTTGTGCTTTTTACAGTTCGTTGATGAGAAGGTTCAATGGATGCATATTGACATGGCTGGTCCAGTTTGGAATGAAAAGCAGCGGTGTGCAACAGGATTTGGTGTTGCCACTTTAGTAGAATGGGTTTTGAAGAACGCATCTTAAATGAAATCTTGTCCAATTGTAGTTTGTCCAACTGAAGGGATATAAAAGGTGTGGCAGCTTTTAGGTCTATTACAGTGTATTTAAACATGTATGAATAAATACTGGTTAATCGACTTCAGTCTGTTTGTTAATACTTTTTGCTTCGGTGATTCTAGTTAATGTATATTTATGGAATGAAATTCTAGGATTAAATATAAAACAATTGTAGGCTTTTATTTAATGAACCCGCACAACTTCTTGCACCCCATATATTTTGAATGACCATTTTATCCTCTGTAAAAATAATTTCTGAATTACATATTTTGGAAAATTTTCGGAATAAGTTTTCTGAAATAAGATTTCTGGTTCTGGAACACGAATAAGCTTTTTGAATAGGATTTTCAAAACATCTTTTGAAAGGCATATAGTGTCTTCCGGAAGGAGTATTTCATAACAGTCTTACATTAAATGCGTTCTAGAAAGATGTTT